CTGGCTGGGATGCTGAACTGGGCGCTGGCTGGGATGCTGAACTGGGCGCTGGCTGGGATGCTGAACTGGATGCTGACTGGGATGCTGGACTGGGTGCTGGCTGGGATATTGGGAAAGCTGACCTGCAGGGGGCAGCCTGGCCACGTAGGGATGGGCTATGGTGGAGGCTCCACTGGGCTCAGCTTCCCAGTCCCAGCTGCAAGAGCACCAGTCTTCTCTTCCTTCTTCTCTCCCTCATGAGCGTACACACACACACACACACACACACACACGAACATGAGCACACATACACGTGCCCCACAGCCCATGAGCTCATTCTGCCCACGGCTGGCAGGCTGGGTGGGATCATTTCTCCTTGAGCTCTTTGTCCAGCTCAGTTTCAAATGACTCATGAGTGGCTTTCACCGTCTCCCCCAGGGAGACCCCCTGCTTGGCCCCATAAACCTTCCCAATTAGGCAATGTTTCCTGATAAGCGGCTGCTTGTCCGCTCCTTCCAGACCACCCGGAGAACTACACCCCCTCCCCATCCTGGCAGTGGCTGGCAATACCTCCCCAGGCTGGCCCTCCCAGAGTCTCCCAGAACTCCACCCTTGTGGCTGTTTACTGGGAAACTGAGGCTCACAGAGGGCGTAAAGACTGGGTGGGTGCCAGTGGGGAAGGCAGGCTTCCTCCTGCTATCTCTCGGTCTCTGTCTCTGATCTCCTCCAAGAGAGGAGGGGACGGAGGTTGTCATTGATAGACAGTTGAGACTCTGCCACCGCATCCAGATGGGGCCTTGGAGACGCTGAGCGGGCCTGCCCTCGCCCAGCCAGGGGTCTTGGTGACACCCTGACTTTGCAGGAGTCTGCTGTTCTGCTGAGTCCTGGGCAGCCCTCTCCGCATGGCTGGGGACCCCCTCGGGGTCCATGGCTGTGTGGGATTACAGCAGTTCACGGAGCTGGGCTCCCCATGAAGCTAGACATTTGCGAAAGCATCAGGATCCAGTGAGCACCGAGGCCCATCGCCTTTGGTCTTCCCTTCCCAAGTAGGCTTCTTTTCAGAGCACAAGCCCCTCTGGGGCCCTGACATAGCCCTCTTGGGCCTGGACCCCTACCCCCATAGATGGCACCGCTGCGTTTCCCAATCCTGACCTGTGTTAGGGATATGTGCAGGGCAGAGACTATCCAGCCTGGTCTGGACCATTCTTCGGTCTCCCTCAAGCCACACAGGGCAGCTGCAGCCCCTGGACCAGCGGTGGAAGCTTGTCCTGCCGCTGGCTCTGGATATCCTGCCCTGGCAAGCTGACCTGTGCCCAGGCAGTCCGAGGTCGGCCCCGGTGGGGGACAAAGTGCTTCCAGCCAGGGAAGCCCCAAGCCCAGACTTCTTCAACAGAGACAGGGGGTCCCTTTGCAATTGGCCAGATGCCACTGGCCACGCCCAAGAATGCTGATGAGAAACGTCTGCCCTCCCTGGACAGCATCCCCTCCTCACGCCAAGACACGTGAGATGATCTGCTGGGAGGCCAGGACCAGGCATTTGTATCCCTAGCCTTCACTGTGGTTCTCTGGGCCTCGGTTTACCATCAGGGTCAAATGAGCCAGTCTGTTGGCAGCGTGGCTGGCTTACTGGGGACAAGCCAGGGTAGGTGTTCCAGGTGGACAGGGGGCTGCCGAGGTGGGCTGGGGCTGAGTGTGGGTGGAGGCAGGCCTCTCTGCAGAGCTCCGAGGGCCTGGGAGCAAGGTTTGTGAAGGCCCATCAGTCACTGGGGAGGTGGGCATGTAGGCAGAGGCAGGGTGCAGTCTGAGGCTGGGGAGAGGGAGCCTGACTCCAGGGTCTAGCTGGGGTGGGGGTGCCTCCCCAAGGTGCAGGGAATGGGGGCTGGCACAGCCCAGACCCTTGGGTATGCTCATACTGCACCAGGCGCTGGGCCCTCCCACTTCGTGGCTGGCAAAGCCTGGGGTCCCACGGGCCCTGGTTCGCACTCCTCAGACTGGAGGGGTCTCTCGGAGCCCCACCCTTGCTGATACCTGGGGTGGCTTAGTGACGACTTCAGGCGGGGTGTGGCGGGTGGGCTCAGGACTGGCTTGGGCACCATCCACCCCAGATGGGTCTTCCCCTTTCAGAGCCCACAGATGGCGCTCATCCTTTCCAACTCCCCCTTGCAGCTGTGGCCCCACCAGGTCCTGGGCTGGGACCTCCACGGCCGCCTCCTTCCTCAGGACTCACTGGGCGGCCGACATGAGAACCCTCCACTCCCCGCGGAAGAGGGGTCTGTAATGCCTGCAGCGCCTTCCAGACACACGTTTACAATCTCACACTTCATTTTTCTTGGACGCAATCTCCGTGCCTTTAAACATGTCATCACTCTGTGTCTCCCCCCCACCCCCAGCACTTCCCGGGTGTGGGAGGCAGGCTGCACAAAGCCGTGGTCATGGGGGGCGGAGCAGGGTGCCCCCCCCACCCCGGACCCCGCAGCCTGGGTGGGCTGGGGCTGCCTCTGGTCAGCCTTCTTTTGCGGAGCCAGCTCCTCTGTGCTGAGCTGGTCAAGCAGGGTGTGAGCAGATGAGGGCAACGGAGAGCCCCCACCCGCAGAAGGGGTTCCGGAAGAGGGGAATGACGTGAGGCCAGTCTGCAGTGCATTTTCTGCCCCCTGCTTTGCCTCTGAGCACCGTTCCAAGACGGGTCACTGAGTGGTAGATTCTCGGAGCCCACCGGCCCAGCCTTTGGAGGTGCGCAGAACCCCCAATCCAGGCTCATTGTGCCCAGAAGCAGCTCCTCCAAGTCCAGACAAACTGGTAGGGAGCTGGGCTCTCCCTTGCAGGCCCAAGGCTAGTGGCCCCTGGCAACAGGGCCTGGCTAGTCCCAGGGGTCTTTGATACTATCTGGAGACAGGCATTTCGCGGGAACCTACACCGCAGCCTGGGCCCTGGAGCTGTGCGGGTGTATGTGGCTGCTGACCCAGGGTACTTCTAGCCGCTTCTCCTCGAACCCAGTCTTGTGTCTGCTTAATTCGATTTTGGGTTCTCCGACACCACCTTGTCTCAGCAGTGGCTCCATGCCTGCTCTCATCCGCGTCCCCTGCGGCTCCTCTGGCCTCCGGCCGCGAGAGGCGCCTTTGGTCCCCCGAGCTCCCCTCCCCCAGCCCCCGCTGTACAGAGGCCCTGAGAACGGGGGGGTCGCCCGAGCATCGGCTCACCTCCCTCGATTTAATACGGATGGGGAGACAGAGGTCCCAAAAGGTTAAGCGACTCAGCCTTTGCCCTCCTCTGGCCAGGTCGCCTCATTCCCAGGGAGCAGCGCCCCTCCGGCCTCGCGTCCCGAGCGATCTGGCTTCTCAAAGAGCGGGGGCATCACCTGTTGCACCGGCCTCCCTTTCCACGCCAACTTTCAGGGGAGCGGGCGCGAGCGCTTCAGCTCCGGGCTAACCCTGGGTCCTCCAGGGCCCTTCCCCGCGCGTCCGGGCCTCGAGCTCCGCCCCGACCCCGCCCCCGGGCCCCACGCGCCCCTGGCCCCGCCCCCGCGACCGCCCCGAGTCCCCCCAACCGGGCTGGCCGCTCAGAGCCAACGCTCCGCCCCGGCCCCGCCCCAGCCCTCCGCGCGCCCCCAGCCCGCCCCCAGCCCCGCCCCCGCGTCCGCCCCGCGTCCCTCCCACCCCGGCCGCCCCGGCTCAATGCCAACGCTCCGCTCCAGCCCCGCCCCTGGCCCCCCCACCTGCTCCCCACTCCCCCCGCCCCCCACGCGCCCCGCCTCCACGCGCGGGGCGCGCCCCGACACCCGAGGGGCCGGGCGGCGGCGCGGCGGGGCCGCGCGCTCGGCTCGGGTTTCGGCCCGCCCCCGGCGCCGGCGTGACCCCTCCTTGGGCGCGGGCGGGCCGGGCCCAGCTGGCCGGCGCCCCGCCCCCGGCCCGGAGCTCCGGGCGCTATAAGAGGGCAGCGGCCGCGGGGCGCCCTGCACGGGGCCGGGAGCGCGATGGTCAGCCGCCGAGGCGCGGCAAGATGCTGGATGGGCCCCTGCTGGCGCGCTGGCTGGCCGCGGCCTTCGCGCTGACGCTGCTGCTCGCCGCGCTGCGCCCCTCGGCCGCCTACTTCGGGTAGGTGCCTCGGCGGCCCGGCCGGCAGGCGGGCGGGCGGGCGGCGCGGGGACGGGGCGCGGGGCGGGCGGCCCAGGTGCGCGGGCCCGGGCCCGCTGGCGCGGGCCAACGGGTTGCCGGGCACTGTTTGCGGCGTGCGCGTCGCTCCGTCAGCGGGTCAGTGTCCTCGCGGCGCTGCGTGGGGAGAGGGGCCGGCATACCCGACGGGCTGGCACGGGCCAGTGGTCCTCGGTGACCCCGAAGTCGTCGTCGCTGACACGCGCCCGTGCGCGGGGCTCCCTGGAGCTCGGGGACCAAGCCTGGTCCTGGCGCTCTGTTAGGCCGCCGAGTTCTGGCGGAACGGCTGGAGCCTCTCCTGGCCCCTACCCACCCACCCCCCTTGCTGCTTCCCCCTCCTTTCTCTCCTCGAGAAGTTAATTTAACAACAACAAAAAAATACGTACAAAATCCAGATGTTCCCTGCACTGAGCCCCAAAGGGAAAAAAAAAATAACTCCAAGCTGGAGGAATTTATTTTTCTTGCGCTTTGCTTCTTACGCCCGCTCGGGCCCCGGCAGGAGCGCTTCTGTGGGACCCGGCCGGCTGCACAGGGCCCGACCCGGGCGTGAACGCGGCCCCCCGCTGCTGTCTCAGGGGTCGCTGCCCCGCGCGCTTCTCCGTAGTAGCGGTCTGCGTGGTTTCGGCGCGTCGCTCTCCGTCGTTCATTCCTGCCCTTCCTCGTCCCTGTCTCTCAGATCTGGGATGTCCAGCCCAGAGACCTTTGGGGACCCTCCGTCGCTGTGCCACGCAGACGGGACCCTGAGGTCCGGGGTGGCACGGCGCGAACAGCCCTCTGGGCCCCTCAGCGTCAGCTCCTGCCGCCCAGGCACCGCCCCTGGAGCCGCGGCCCACCCTCGCGCCCTGGCCCCTGCGCTGGGCGCCCGGCGCCGCTCCTGGCCGCCGCCCTCTGCCCGTCACCTGTTCCCTCGCCCTGGGCCCGGGCGCAGTCGCGCGGCAGCTGGCCGGCAGAGGGCCCCGTTGGTCCAGAAATGTGCCACGGCCAGGGCGGGGAGAGGCCACTGGGCGAGGAGCCCTGCAGGTGTATCCTGTTCTCAAAGAAAATAAAATATTTTCATGGGAAACTTTCCCTTTGTGTTTTTCTTTCCCCCCTTTCTCCTTCTGTTCCTCTCTCCTGGGTCGTCTTCCAGGGTCAGCTCCGTGTCTCCTTCCCCTGGAGACCCCACCCGGCAGGCTCTCCTGGCTCCGGCTGTGGGCCCGGCCCTGCCTGGGGCCTGGGCTGTGCAGAGGCTCGCACGCCCCTGCGCGCCATCTGTGCAGCCTCGCCTCGCCCTCGCGCGCAGAGGGAGGGTCAGAGGATGGCCGTCTGGCCGCAGGTCCTCGGTGAGTCAGCCAGCTGTGCCTTCCCGCTCCGTCTGCTCACCAGGCTTCAGACACACCCTAGGCTTGTCTGCTCTGCGAGTCTCCCTGCTGCCGGCCCACAGAGGGGAGGTGGGAGTCCTGGCTCCCGGCTCCCACCCCCCCCACCCCTACCCCCGGCAGCATTGGCACTTTGCACCCCTGGGGGAGTCTCTGAGCTCTGCCATTTAGCCAGTGGGCGAGCGGGTGGGATGCAGGGAGGCCTTGGTGCCCCTGTCACCCCTCTGGCCAACTCTCTTGCCCAGCACTTTGGCCCCAAAGGCTGTCCTGTGGGGAGCATAGGGGGCAGACGTGCTGCCCTAGGGATAGCTGGCTCCGCTGGGGCCCCTGCCACCCCCGGCACCGGGCAGGAGAGCTGGGTTCTGCATGATGGACAGAGGTCCTGGGGCGGGGGCAGGCCTGGTGCCAGCTGGACGGGCAGGGGAGGGTAGGGACCCGGCGCTGGAGGGGTCCTTACCCAGCAAGCTCCTCGGGGAGGTGATTCCCAAGGTGGAGCCAGATGCAGAAGGAGCGGAGGGGGCAAGATGTGCTGTGAGCTGGTGGTCTGTGTGTGGAGGCCCAGCCCTTCTGCTCTGGGGCCCTTTCTCCCGGCCCAGCAAAGTGGCAGAAGCTGGAGGGCTGGAGGGAAGAGATGGCCCAAGGTGGGCAGGGCAGGGCTGAGAGCGGGGGCTTCCCTCCCAACCCAACCTGCAGTGCCAAAGGAGTAGGAGGACGGAGCTGGGATTCAGGCCCGCCTTCTCCCTTCCCCCCCCTCAAAAGCTCTGCCTGGCACGGAGGCTCACAGGCAGGCAGGGTAGCTCCAGTTACAGCCCAGAAACCCAGAGAGGCTGGCCTGGGGGGGGGGGCGTGTCACGTGGTCGGGCAGAGCCCTCCCTGCCCCCCTCCCCTGGGCTGCAACCCAACCCGCCCTGCTCCGGTTGCCCTCTCTGTCTATGGCCACTAGGCAAGACCCTCCAGGCCGCCGCCTGGCCATGGGGAAGGGGCTCTTCCCTCTTCCTCTGTGGCCTGGCCCTGCTTCTTGGCAGTGTGATTAGCAGGTGGCGTTTCCATCTGGTTCTCCAGGGGCCTAGACAGCTTGGCCTGATGCCCTCCTGGAAGGAGGGGGTGCCTGGCTCCCAGCAGAAAGGGGCCGACTCGAGGTCTCCGGGCGAGTTTGGGAAACAGACTCAGACCCCCACCTCCCCATGCCCCGTGCACCTGGGTGGGCTGAAAGTTTGCCTGCGTCCGGCCCTGCCTCGGGCCTTAGAGGGGAGAAGAGGGAGCTGAGGGGTGTTCTGTGTATGCTGAAAATCTCTTCAGGAAGGGCTGCCCCTAAACCCAGGGTGAGGGGCCCTGCTGCCCCCCTGAGCATGGAGCCAGGGGCTGGGTCCAGCAGAGTGGGTACCTCAGTGCCCTTTTCCTACCCACGTGTGTCAAGCCGGCCCCAGCGGAGGCTCCCAGGGCGGCTGCTAGACTTGCCTCCAGGGGCTGCCGGGGGAGCAGAGGCCTCAGGCTTCCAACGTAGGCCCTCTTCCGAGAACTAGGGCAGGCTGTCGTGGGCCCTGAGGCCCTTTCTTGGGATTGGTCCCAGCACCCCACATTCTACGGGAAACCTTTGCAGGCTGGCTTGGGGAAGCCCGTCTGGCTGTGGTGGGTGTGGTACCAGAGGGCTCCCTCCGCCAGGCCACACGTCAGTGCAGGAGGCGCTCCGAGCGGCGTGAAAGGCAGCTAAGGTGCTCTGGGCCACTGCGAATGGGGCTGGTTAGGGCCCACGTTCTTTCTGTGATGGAAATATAACTCCTATCCCGTAAACTCACCCTGGTAGAGCATGCAGTGCAGTGGGATTTGGTACATCTACAAGGCGGTGTGGCCAGCACCACTATCTAATTCCAGAGTGTTCCATCACCCCAGAAACCTCACATCCTGTCTCCCCCTCCCCCCCCAGCCCCTGGCAACCGCTAATCCAATTTCTGTCTCTGTGGATTTGCCTGTTCTGGACATTTTACGTAAGTGGAATCATACAGCATGTGGCCTTTGTGCCTGGCTTATTTCAGCAAGGATAACATTTTCAAGATTCATCCACGCTGTAGCGTGAATCCGTGTGCCTTTCCCTTTGTGACCGAATGATATTCGATTGTGCGGACACGGACTAGTTTTTCTTCCGTGCATCTGCTGGCGGACACCTGGGTGGGTTCCGCCGTTTGGCTCTTGTCATGCTGCAGTGAGCACTGGTGTACAAGTTTCTCTGTGTTTTCCGTTCTGCTGGGTAATCCCTGGAGGTGGAATTTCTGGATCCCGTGGTAACTCTGTTTCTGCTTTGGAAGAACGCTCCCACCGGCCACGCACCTCCACATAGTCGCTAGTCCTAGTTGTTTCTGGCTTTTTGTTTTGTTCTGCTTTTTAGTCTAGCCTTCCTAGGGGGTGTGGGTTGGTATCTCATCCTGGTTTGATTTGCACTTCCCTGATGACTAGCGATGTTGGGCCTCCTTCGTGAGTATCTTACTCATCTGTACGTCGTCTTTGGAGAAATCTCTACTCAGTTTCGCTGCCCAGCCCTTGGCTGGGTTGTGGGTCTTTGTTGTTGATTTGTAAGAGCTCTTTATATAGGTGGATCTGTTCTTGGACAGAGGACAAGCTGAACCGTGAGCCGCAGACTGTCTCTCACGCGTGCATGCAGAGGCTACTCGCGTGGGCCTTCACAGGCTACTGCTTGGCTCCCGGCATGACTGTGTGGTGCAGGTGACCATCTGTTTGCTGGGGTCTGGTCTAGGGGCCTGGTCAGGGGTTCTGGGGACTTGCAGAGGAGGCTTCCCTGGCCCTGCCCTCAGGCACTGCTGTCCTGGTGGGGGTGGCTGTGTGTGTGGGGTTTGCGTCAGGGTGTGGGTGCACCTTCTCTATGAGCCTGGGGCCCAGCTGGGGTCCTGTGTGGCCACATGCCTGCTGGCTGCCGAGAGGAGGGGTGCCCGGCCGGTCCCTGGAGGTGGTAGAAGAGGGAGGGGCTCCAGGGCAGGAGGAGGGAGCCCTGGCATGGTAGGCCTATGGAAGGCTGGGGGCTCAGGCTCAGCAGTGGGGGAAGCCAGCCCCTCGTGGTGAAGCTGGGGTGACCCAGAGCCCCCTGGGGCTGGGGCTGGGGAGGGGCTGCCCAGTGGGGAGGTGTCCCCAGTGATCCTGTGGTGGGGGGCCCGGGGTGGTGGAGCCATGAGCTGAGTAAGCAGCAGTCCAGGCTGACGCCCAGAGGACCCACCTCAGGACGGACATGCCGGGAGCAGCCCTGAGAGGCCTCAGGTCCAGCGTTTGGTGGGGAGGCCATGGAGAACTCCAGAGGCTCTGGAGAGCGTAGGCCTGCAGTGGGAGCTGAGGGAGAGGGAGGGTCCAGGCGAGTGGCCTTCTCCACAGTGTCCGGGGCAGCCGAGTGGCCAGCAGGGAGAGTGGCCCTGTGCGTGAGACCTCAGAGTGGTGAGCAAGGGGGGACGTGAGGTGGGGAGGGAGCTCCGGGAGGGAGAGCATGGAGGGGCCTGGACCCTGGGGCTGGGGCGGGTGTGGGGAGGCAGGTGGAAGGAGCAGGTGGGCAAGGGTGGGGACGCGCCCCTGGGTCTCGGCTCTCCA